TTTTGAGACAGGGTTTGTCTGTGTAGCTTTGGAGCCTGTCCTGGAACTCACTCTGTAGATCAGGCTGGCGTTGAACTCACAGAGATCCACCTGGCTCTGCCTCCTGAGTGCTGGGATTAAAAGTTTGTGCCACCACTGCCCAGCTATTAAAGTTTGGTCTCTTATTTATTTATTTATTTATTTATTTATTTATTTATTTATTTATTTATTTATTTATTTATTTATCTTTGGTTCAGGCTAGCCTCCAACTCTCAGCAGTCTTCCTGCCTCCACGTCCTCAGTACTGAGATTATAGAGCTGTCCCCTTGTGCCCAGCCCTCCCTCCTAGCAGTGACCAAAACGGGAAAGGTGAAATCCCCACTTCTTCCTCCCGTGCTACCTACACTGTGACATGGACTCAGGCCTGCCACCAAACTCTACAGCATTGTTCCCAGGAGAGCAGCTAAGGGTTAAAACACCAAACACCCCACTTCTGTTTTTCTTATAAAAGACCAAGATAAACAAAAAGATATTCGACTGAAAAAGACCTGAAGTGTCTTCATGAAAAACCTTGTCACTAAAGACAGAACAAGAGTCTGGGGTCAGGAGACAGGAGATGCGGAGGCTGAGGTGCTGGGAACACAGTGGGCAGCTGTGTGACAGACACTGAGCAAAGCCAGGGAGGCAGAGGTTGGTGAGTGTTGTGGAGGAACACCCTATGCTGGACACATGTATGGCCCAGAGTCTCTTCCCATCCCGACCCAAGAGTCCACAGCTGTTACCTGTGTATTGAACAGAAACTATCACCAACACCCTGCTTCTCTGCATGGTTCATGCATTGGACCTGGACTTCTTCTGTTTGTACCCTGGTGGGCAGTGGTGTCAGCAAAGCAAGGGGAACCAAAGGTGCTGATGCCTGGAGCTCTGAATAGCTGCTGGGTTAAGTGGGTAGAGGTTCCCTCCTTGATGCAGAACAGTGTCTGGTCCTGCTCTTTTCCTACTTAAGGCAGGCCTGTATGCAGGCCTGGGTCTGATGGTAGAAGTGAACTAGAGACATAAGTGTTTGTCTTGTTCAGCTGTTACTCTGCCAATGTGTAAAACAATGGCATTTTTATGGCAAGAGTTCTTCTAGTGATGTGTGGAGCTTTGGGCAAGAGGATAAATTATTATGTTGGTCACAGTGATTGGAGATTTATAATGAAGATTCTCAATGATGGCAAAGGGACAGAGGAAAAGATCTCACAACTAGAAGGGACCAAGGCAAGTGAGTCCAAATGCAGTGTCCTGGAATAGCTATGAGTGTGGCCCAACACATTTGTAGATGACAAGGTCATGCCATGATGTGTGGGAGTCTTTTGGAAGGGTTCTTGGGTGGAGGAGAGAGGAATGAGAAATATTAGATAGAAAGATAGAAAGACAGAGGTACAGGATAGCTTTGGGAGGGCCCTGGATCAATATCCAGCCACCCTAGGCATTTATTCAAAAGGGCTTTCTATACAAAAGACCTCTTCCTTGCAAGATCAAGGCACACCATACAGCCAAGAGTAGACTCTTCCAAACACCCGGTAAACATGCCCACGGCCAAATCATCTCATTATGCAGCCCTGCCGGTAAAGCAAGCTCAGATTCTCTGACCCTGAGTAATCTGGGCTCCCACAGTGATGTCAAAAGGTTGGACACTCTTGGACCAGGGTTGACAAAAAAAATATGCAATTTGAAAAATGTTTGACGAACCTTAATTAAAAGATCTCTTGTTTTGGGAGGCGGAGGCTAGAAGATCAGGAATTCAAGGCCAGCCTTAGCTATACAGCAAGTTCAAGGCCTACATGAAACTCCAGTTCAAAAAAAAGATTGGGGGTAGGGTATGGCTCAGCTTGTAAAGTGCTTACCATGCAAGCATGAGAATCTGAGCTTGGTCCCTGCCAGCCACATAAAAATGCTAAGCATGGCTGTTCACATCCATCATCTCATTGCTAGGGAGTAGAGATAGGGTCCTTGGGGCTTGCTGGCTGGTTGGCTAGCTTAGCCAAAGCAGGAACTCAAGGTTCAAGGAGGGACCCTGTCTCAAAAAAATAAGGTTCAACTAGCAATTGGAGAAGACAACATTGACTTCTGGTCTCCATATGCACATGCACACAAGTGCACACACCACAAACATGTGTGCATAGAAACACACAATTTTTTTTTATTAAGATTAGAATAAATTAAGATTCCCTAATGAAAGAAAAATGGAACCTGTGGTGATATTTTATCTGTGTACCCCAAAATAGTTTATCTGAGGATCAGAGGAAAAAGCCAGCCACTATAGTAAACATAGAGATCAGGCAATGGTAGCACACGCCTTCAATCCTATCACTTGGAGAGCAGAGATGTTTCTGGATCTCTATGAGTTCAAGGCCACACTGGGAACAAAGCCAGGTGTGGTGGTACATACCTTTAATCCCAGCACTCACCATAAAGGTCTGGAGGTCTGTATAGACAGACAGGAAGTGACTGAGCTGGACAGGAATAGGAAGTGATGTAGCTGGGCAGAGAGATGAAATGAGTTGGCAGAACAGAAAAGCATATAAGTGTGGGTATACAGGAATTAGGTCTCTTGGGCTGAGGATCTCCAAGTAGTGAGACTATGGCTGGCGTCTTTCTGCTTTTCTGATCTCTTGGTTTTAACCTGAATATCTGGCTCCAGGTTTTTTATTAATAAGACTGTTTAGCACTTCATCCCACAAGAACCAACCCCAATTTTGGAAGAAGAATCTAGTATAACAGATTCTAGACTCTTATTTTCATGGAAAACCAGAACAACATTGCCCAAGAAAATGTAATACTGACCACATGTCTACTTTCAAAGTTCATAGGAACCACACTAAAACAAACAAAAGGACACTGGTGAAGTTGATATAAATAACGTCGTAAGTATGTTAGTAACATAAATAAGTGTGTTAATAAAAAATATCACTTCTCCATGTGGCCAGTGGGTGAGGTCTGTCACGGATGGCTCATGTTGTCCACACACCAGTCCTCCATGCCATGAAGGGATGATCAGCTTGACTATCTCTGCTTGTTTGGCTTTGCCTATTTTCTTTGAATTCCAGAGTTCCTACTTGCTGTGGGATGTACTAAGCTGTGACTCAGACTTTCTTCACTTGCCGCTAGTATATGTCTGATTCCATACTCAGCCATCTCTGAGTGTCATTTGCACACTCCCAGGGGACCTGCTTTCGATCCTGTAGCAGAAATGCAGTGAGATTGACATTAACCATACAGCTGCCTAAACCTACGTCCCAAGTGGAGGATCTACTATAACCCACGTGGCACTGTCCTGTGGTTTAAAAGGAGGAAGCAAAAACATGGCTACCTGTGCATACAGCCTTTGAGAAGTTCTTGTGTCTCCTCAGGTAGACTGGGAGACCTGGTTAGCAGACAGGGAGTTCACATCAGGCTTCAGGGCATTACCCAATCAACTTTGGTAACCATTGTGAAGTAGAAGTCCCTGGAACTTTGAAAACAAGAGTCACATTGTTATACATTGTTACTAAGTTTCACTACAAGAATAAGTTTCTGTGTCCTAAACCTAATGTACCCTGCAAATCATGTTTTTCAACCTCCACTGAACTTGTGACCCCATGATGTATGGCCACCCCTTTGACTTGCTAAACTGAACCTGTGAGATACAACTGCCCTTTTGCCTTACGAAAATGTGTCTCCTCAGGTATCTTGATGACTCGCCTTCCACATGACTGTGTTCTTGCACTTATCTACCCCACAGGCAGCCTTGAGCCCTGAGTCCCCCACTCTTCTGTCCAGTCGCTAACAGCCAATTATCTCTACAGCTGTTTTCTATCAACCCTAGCCCTTCGTCATAAAAGGGACCTCGAAAACCAGTGAGCGGCTTCTCTCTGAAACTTCTGGGAGAGACAGCCAGCTGTGGGACTGTTTCTTCCTCAAGTCTAACATCCTACTCTCACGTCTTCCTTGCCTTTCTCCCACCCAACTAACTCCTATCCACTCCTCTCTAATCCCATCCACAAGATGATATTTAACTCTTAGCACATCATCGTGAGTGATTTTCCCCTGCTGTTTTCCCCTGGGCTACTGAGCTGAACGGCTCCACTTCTGATCAGGTTTTGAAGTCAAGGTACCTTTAAAATTTTTTGGCATAACTCAACAGCTTTTACAATCAAATGTTTTTCTTTAGTTACAAATATCAAAGACAACATAATCCAGATTCTCTGTGTGATAGCCATCTTTATGTGGCTTATTACCTTTGTTTTTTTTAAAGACTTTATTTTTAAAAACTATTTGTTTATATAACGGTATATATTTTTTGAAGCCTATGTACATTTTTACATGCATTATAAACTGTTCCATCTGAATTAGTCTTATTGTGAACCTATTGATTTAAACTGCACCATTCTAAGACTGAAACGGGGTGCTTTGGCTGCTGGCTCCGCCCACTTTAGCTTTCCAATATGGCGGTGGTACATTTTCTCCAGCCCTGGGAGTCATCAAGTCTCAGAAATAGTGGGTCTATGCTTTTATTAAAGCAGCGTGTAGCCCAGAAACCTCTTTTTTTTTATATATATATACTAGTAAAGACTAAATCTACCACACAGCATAATGTGCCGCTGGCAGACGCCTCATTCCCGCCATACTGCCGGTCAAACGCACACGCCAGGAACCCGCCAGTGTTCAAACCCACGTTTTGCGGCGTCTAGCTGCCCATATGAGACATGAAGCAGGAACCTGGTTTTGGCTCTGTTTAGAATTATTAAATATTCTCAGGTTTAAGGTGGAAACTCAAGCCATTGGGTGCCATTTGTAGCTGGAGAGCTTCTCTCCAGGATCCACCAAGCCCCTGTAATCCCACAGCCCCCATATAAAATAATCACTCACATGCTTTATATTACTTATAAATTGTATGGCCGTGGCAGGCTTCTTGTTATCTACTTCTTTTATCTTAAATTAACCCATTTCTATTACTCCATAAATTGCCACGTGGCTCGTGGCTTAACGGTACCTTACATCTCGCTTGTCACAGCAGCAGCTGGCAGTGTCTCTCTGCCTCAGCCTTCTTGTTCCCAGAATTCTCTTCTTTGCTTGTCCTGCCTATACTTCCTGCTTGGATACTGACCAATCAGCATTTTATTTATACAGAGCGATATCCACAGACAAGTTTTTTCTATATGACAGTCCTGACTGTCTTGGATCTCGCTCTGTAGACCAGGCTGGCCTTGAACTTACTGAGATCTGCCTGCCTCTGTCTCCTAAGTGCTGAGATTAAAAGCATGTGCACCACCACTGCCGCCAAGCCCATGCTGATTTTTATAGAGGCTGCACCATCTCGCATCCTATCCAGCAGAGTGCAAGAGTTCTTCTCCCCACATCTTTACAAGCATCTGGTTTCTTGATAATAGTCATTCTGACTAGGGTCGGGTGAAATAGCCATGTAGTTTTTGAGGGAGGCCAGCTCCCTCTTTTTCTCCCAGGGTACTCTTGAGCAAGGAGAAACTAGAAACATATAAAAAGAAATATATATACAGAGAGAGAGAGAGAGAGAGAGAGAGAGAGAGAGAGAGAGAGAGAGAGAGAGAAATATAGGACAGCCTCAGGAAGGCCTGTGTCAAAACCCACCAGCCCTTTCTGTCTCTACTAAAGGGCTTTTAAAGGAATGCCAAGGGGTAGAGCACAAGACCTGCCCCCAGCACAGCCAAGTGCAGACAATCCCAGGCACCTGGTGACCATGCACATGGTCAAGCCATCCCCTAATGCAGCCCTGCTGTGTAAAGCAAGCTCAGATCTCACTAGAAAACCTTTGTGGGCTCCCACAAGTTTTGATTTGCATTTCTCTGGGAGCATCTATGTAAAATAGTCAAGATTTAATTTTGCTTTCAGTTTCAGAGGTTTTAGCCCATGGCTCTGTTGTTTTCAGGTTTTCGATAAGGCAGAGCATCATGGCCAGAGGTTCATAGTGTAGCAGAGCTGTTTGGATCAAGGTTACCCGGAAGCAAAGCACAGGAGAGAATGGGTCAGAGACAGAACACACCCTCTGGTGATATTTCTCCAGCGATGTTCCACTGTGGTGATATATTGTGCACCCCAATAAAGTTCGCTTGGGGATCAGAGGACAGAGTCAGCCACTAATTAGACATAGAGGTCAGGCAGTGGTGGCACACACCTTTAATCCTATCACTCAGGAGGCAGAGATCTCTGGATCTCTGGATCCTCTGGATCTCTGTGAGTTCCAGGTCACACTGGGCTACTTGAGAGAAACAGAACCAGGCAGTGGTGACACATGCCTTTAATCCCAGAAAGTAATATGGCAGGACACAGAAAGGTATATTATTCATGAGGAAACAGGAACTCACTCTTTTGAGACTGAGGATTTCGTAGATGTAAGAACTTGTGGCTGGTTTGATCCGCTTCTCTAATCTTTCAGCTTTTACCTCAATATCTGGCTCCAGATTTTCTATTAATAATACCTTTTAAGATTTGTGTTACATTCCACCTCCTGACATTTCTACCATCTTCAAATCTCCCATTAAACTGTGAAACCGTTAATGAGGTCAGAGCCCTTATGATCCAATCTCTTCCCAAAGACTCCACCTCCCTGATCTCTTCCCAAAGGCCCCACCGACAACACCACTGCCTTAGGGGAGAAGCCTGAAACGCACGAGCTTTTGCAAAGATGTTTCAGTTCCAAACTAGCACAGTGCCTGAAGGTGAAGGAATAGAGAAGGAAGAAATTGGAGATGGTGAGCCCAGAAAACAGACTCTATCTGTTCTCATGTTCTATTGTCTTTGGAGCCAGACTCTGAACCAGCCCTGTAGCATCCTGTAGCAAGCATCTCTCCTGGACCCTGGACATGGCAGGCTTATTGCATTTTCATTTTTAGTACCATCTATGTTGTAATCAGTGGAGACTGGTGTGTTCCTTGAACCCAGGTGCCAGGAGCTGAGATTTAAGTGGCGGAAGCACTCAGCCTCAAAAAGAAACAAGCAGACAGCATCTGAGGAATGACACCCAAGATTGTCCTCTTGCCCTCACAGGCGCGCGCACACACACACACACACACACACACACACACATACACACCTGTGTACTCTCACCCACGTAAATGCACAAAGAAAAGGAAACAGTTTGAATAACAAAGATTATATTCCCCTGGGGCTGGAAAGATGACTCAGTGGTTAAGAACATATATTGTCCTTGCAGGGGACCCGAGTTCAACTCATCATCCATATCAGGTAGCTCCAACTTCAGGGGGTGGCCCTAACCTCAGTTAGATGCACATATACAGACATACATACATGTACATGCAAATAAATAATAATAAAAATATTTTTAAAAATATTGTGTTGCCCCTTTAATCATCTTTTAGGATCTCAAAGGATCAAACAAAGACACAAGCCAATTTTTATATTACATTGTTCCTCTAGCCACAATTTATTTATTTATTTATTTATTTATTTATTTATTTATTTATTTATTTATTTATTTCAGCCAAGCATTTCTTTTTGCAGTGACCTGTCTTAATTCTATTATGAGGAAGTTAAAAGTAGATTGGAAGACCCAATGATATGGCTCAGTAGGTAAAGGCACTTGCCACCAAGCCTGATGATCTGAGTTCAATTCCAGCACCCACACATATACACATACCAAATAAATGAATTTTAAAACTTTTTTTAAGTTTAAAAGAATAGAGTGAAGAAACTGAGAGTTGGGAACAATGGGACCAGAGCCGCTGATGTCAATTAAGATGCATTTTAGATTTATGAGGACTATTGAGTGGGTTTCACAGACAATCTACATGTCTGCTTACTCTGCACAATCAGATGGTACTCATTGGTAGGATACTATCACCATCACCACCACCACCATCATCCTCACCATCACCACCATCATCACCATCAACACCACCACCACCACCATCATCATCACCATCACCACCACCACCATCATTATCATCATCACCACTCTCATCATCATCACTATTGTTGTGGTGCTGAGGGTTGGCACCCAACCCTCATACAGGGCAGGCAACTGCTCTGCCTTTGAGCTACACCACCAACCCACAGCAAGGGGAGTTAGCAGCCAATCATCCTGGCTTAAAGCCTGGCTCTACCACTAACAGTCTTTAGGCAAGATACCTAATTTCTCAGAGCCTAATTCCTCTTTTAGATTCTGAGGATGAAATATCTCTTTAAGTCTGGTAGAAGGGTTAGAGTACACACTCTAAACCTGGTACATTGTAGGCACTCATTTGATGTGGAAGGAGAGAGGGGGCAAACTTGGGTTTCTTTCCTTTCCTTTCCATTCCTTTCCTTTTTTTTTCTTTTCTTTTCTTTTCTTTTCTTTTCTTTTCTTTTCTTTTCTTTTCTTTTCTTTTCTTTTCTTTTCTTTTCTTTTTAGACAGGATTTCTCTGTGTAGCTTTGGAGCCTGTCCTGGAACTCACTCTGTAGAC